ATCAAAACCGGCCACCTACGACCGTTGTCCGCCGCCGACGGAAATCGTCGCCGTTGCACATGGCCGCCAGAAGCTGCCAACGCCTAGCCGCACGCAGTCACGAGCTTCCGCCCGCAGCCGCACACAACCAGACGCCTGCACCAGTCCCCAACGACGTCCTGCGACGCCGTGAGCTCCCAGTCCCGTCTGCCTGCTCGCATACGCCACAGCCCAAGATCCTCGCGTGCCCGACTGCATGCGCGTGCCTAGTAGCTGCCTGCGTCCATCGCCTGTGTCCCAGTCTTCGTTGGAGTAGAACTCCTGTGACAGCACGCGCCCGAAGTCCTCGTGCGCCGCCTACGCCCATCAGCGCGCGACGCACCACGCGCTCGTTTGCCAGCCCGCAGCCAGACCACGCTGCCTGTCCGCGAGCGCCGACCAGGCCCGTCCAAGACCCGCCCGACCTGCCAAATGCTAGTCGTGACCCTTAGCCGCTCGATCGAGGCCAGCCGCGACCCAATGCATCCCAGCCACGTCCAATCGGCCCGAGCTCGACGAGCCCTTGTGCTGGTGAACAGTTCGTGACCCGATGACCTGATTCCGATCAAAGAGGCCTAGTCCGGCTACCCAACGGACTCTGCGGTTCAGACGATCTCCAACAGAGGAAATCAGAAACGTCTCAGAGTCGACAAAAATTTTAAATGGTAATGTCCTAACCCTAACTATAGATTCCGCTACATTAGAATTTATTTCCATAGATTCGAATGTGTACATTGTTGACGTTCCTAATAGAACCCAACATAAACGCCCCAACTAATGCTCCATCCAACCAATCACGAACACGACTAGTGATACATTTAAACTCCTTATGTTACTCACGTAAGCTTCTTGTTTGTTTGATATGTGACAGGGCTTCATCGTAATCATAGTAATCTGATGAACCAAACCGCATAATCAATTCTCTTTTTTGAAAATTTTCTAGTGGATTCAGGTATCCTTCCTTTTGTAAACCCTCGATATCCACTGCCACCACATGGTCGTCTCCCTATAGAGATAATAGACGACGAGATTAACCCTCCCTGCCTTCAGTATTTCATTGATATCGATATACTGATTGATGCGGCTCAAACACGAATCCAGGTCCACCCCATTAAACATTGGAAGGGTCAGTTTTGTCCTCTCGTCCTGTGCCTTTCTTGGTGATTTGAGCCCCGTAAATGGTTATCATCGTCCTCTGCGAAGTCGCCTTTTACGAATCAGTTGATTTGTCTAATGAACGATTAGAGCCGTCTCTCCTCTGGAATCGTCGTCTGACAGTTTGGAGCGGCATCTGCTCGATCCTGAACACCACCTGATTGGTTGATCATACGTCGTCGTTGATTGAACGTACACTTTGTTTCAATTGATCAATTCTTTCCCTGTTTGACATGATGATACACGATCAGATCTCTCAATGAAAGCACCAATGATGAAGATCTTGAATCGAACTAATTGGATTAATGAAAACCCGCACTGAACGGCCATCAGCCATCACAAGATTTTGGTGCTCGAACGAGCGATTTTTTATTTTTTATTTGATATTGGATAACTGGTCGACTAGACCGGAGAGACAACTGAATTGAACCAGATTAGCTGTCAGGTTGAAGATGATATCGATGACGTGGGGGATATTTGCAGGTCGAAGATGGGTCCTTGGAAGGGCCTGGTAGAATTTCGATCTGAGAAAGTACATGATCGAAGCATCGACCAGATGATGGTAACTACGGATTTTGACATTAAGAGCACTCACTTTGAAGTCATTAAGATCAGGCGCACGGTTAGACCGTCTAGTATAGAGGAATAAAGGATAAGAAGGAATCTTAGGGGGACTAAACCCCCACATGGGTAGGGCCACGTGGCATTAACTGATTGGTCCACGCCTCATAACCGTCTCTGATAACCCATGCAACTCGGGCAGCCGGGAAAGCTTACGCGCATGCAGTCGGGACAGCTCATGCGCGCGACATGGGCAATAAGGTATCATCTTCCTATATAAGGGATGAAATATGATTGAATTACATTACATTCTCTAATATACATTTACATACAACACTTATCTTTTTCTTTAAGTGTTAACTTAGGCATCAGAGGCTCTTCACCGAAAACCTCCTCCGATGTGAGAGTTCTGAAGGTTCGAAGATGTTCAACCGGCGGTCAGCTCGAGATCTAGATATTTCTGAGAAAATTTCAAAATTAGTCCCACAGATATAAGGGGGTGACAGTTTTGGTCCCGACGGAATGCACAAAATATGAATAGTCCCACAACTCTTAAAAAATGATCAAAAGTAGGACTTTTTCGCCGGATTTACTATTTCCGGCCTGGAGCGCCACGTGGCGCACACGTGGCGTACACGTGGCGCACACGTGGCTTATTTTTTACACGCTGGCATCCGACGTAGATAGGAAAAAATTCAAAACTAGTCCCACAAGTATAGAGGGGTGACATTTTTGGTCCCGATGGAATGCAGAAAATTCAAAACTAGTCCCCCAACTTGTAAAAAAATATGAATACGTCGGATGCCACGTGGCGTTCCGGGCCGGAAATAGTAAATCCGGCGAAAAAGTCATACTTTTGATCATTTTTTAAAAGCTGTGAGACTATTCATATTTTTTGCATTCCGTCGGGACCAAAATTGTCACCCCCCTATACCTGTGGACTAATTTTGAAATTTTCCCAGATATTTCTAGCCGTTCCTAGCCAGTCGAAGGTATTTGCTACACCATTATTCATAAGTTATCCAAACAAAGAACACAAAAATTTTAAAGAAAGAAAAATACAGAAACTGCACTTAAAGTCCTAAGATAACACTGATTCCGATAACGCTTAAAAGCGTTATCTGTAAAAAAAAATAAGCGCTATCTAAAGCCTTTTTTGGCATAGTGGGGCCGCGATGGGCTCTGAATCGCTATACCCTGCGTGCTGCTCGGTGGCCCGTCTACCACGTATGCTTGTGCCCAATTCCTTTATACGCGCACAACGAGCTCTATTGTAGGTCTCCGGCCTTCATCAGCATCAACCGCACAATGCACGGGTGACATATTATAAATATATTTGACAAACGTACGTGTGCAAGTTTTTCTAGATAAAGAGAAAAAGAAACTCTTTATGACATCTTTAAGTCGTATCTTTAGCAACCATAGCAAATCTTGGTGTTTGCAAAAATTCTTAAACTCTTACCTTTTTAGATATATTAATATTAAAAGCTACACGCACCACCTAAAAGTAGCATTATGATCATTAATTAATCATGATTAACCAATTAACAAATGCCAATGAGCAATGACATTCCGAAACACGCCAATTGACTTCCCACGCGTCGATTAGATGACTCATTGATCTTTTCCCTTCGATTATTTAATAATACCCCTATAATTCTTGTGTTTGCTATCACGAAACTTCTGAATGATATATAATATATGCTTAGTTTCTATCGGTTTTTATATGGAATCATCGCATAGTTTTTCTTATGGAGCAATTCGCCTACGTGGCTCCTATGTGGTACCATATGGCACCATGTGTCTTAAAATATATGTTATTTCTTATGTTTTTCTTATAGAGCAATCTGTCTACGTGGCTTCCATGTGACACCATATGAGTCATATGGTGCCACATAGGAGCCACGTATTAAACAAAGAAGAAATAACACATATTTTAATACACATGGTGCCATATGGTGCGACATAGGAGCCACGTAGGCGGATTGCTACTTAAGAAAAATAATTCGGTGGCTCCATAGAAAAAGCGTAATTGCTAATAAAAAAAAGAAACTTATAATATAACGTATGTGATATGCATTGGAGATGAGTGAAAAATGAGAGCGAATTTACTGAGCGCATAACAATATATGTATGCGTTGATATGATACGAAATTATTTTCATTACGAATTTTCACTACAAAAAAAAAAAAATAAAAAAAAAATCATATTATACAAAAAATCATATGATAGTATATTTCAATAGAAATTTCAACGGCTATTCTTATGATATAACTTCTGTTGGAATTATTTCAACGGAATTAGACCGTTGGAATGAGTTTTCTATTAGAATTTAGATGAAATTTGATCATTCCAACTGCTATCATTCTAACCGTTCTTTTACTGTAAGAATTTATGTTGTATATTTCACTCATATTTCTACAATTGGAAAATGTACCGTTGTAATCGTCAAAATCCAACAAAAATTCCAATAGAATATTCAATAATAACTGAATATTTATGTTGGAATTTCCATTAAAAAATTCTAATGAAAATAATATCATTATAATATCTATAAAAATTATGATTGGAATTTCATAGAAATATAATCATGTTGAATTTTTTATTGGAATTTCATGATATTCTTGTAGTGTTAATTTAATGCTACGAAAAAAATAGTTGTAACAAATTTAATGTTGCGAGATATTTTGAGAAACTAGGAGCTTTACCAAATTATTACTCAAATGATAAAGCAGTCAAACAAAGTCTCCATACGGAATTGTAAAATTTATAATAATATTAATTGGCCCTTATGTTTCATTGTACGGCGCCACCGATTTTTTTTTTTTGTAGTCAACAGATGTTCAACACACACTGGTCTAAGAATAAAATGCAGGGACACTTGGCAGATTCTCTAGGGAACAATATACAGGGTACAACATTAGTGTGCTAAATCATGTTTAGCTAGTGTAATTAATTTAATTTAAAAATGCTTAGTGACATTAATAAATTAGTTAAGATAAGAGAGTGAAGCTGACATAATGAGGCTAATGCATATGGGTGTATATATGGACTGAAGATTGGTTTCATGTTTTATGTCACACCATCATCAGACAATAATTATTACAACAGTTAACTGCAAGAATTTTGATTTTCTTCTTCTTCTTTTCTGTTTTCCAATTTAAAAAATAATCAAATGGAGAGATGGGAAGTTTGTGAGGCAGGTTGGAGAAAAGGGCCTTGGACTCCAGATGAAGATAAGCTGCTTATTCAATATATAAACCAATATGGTGAAGGAAGATGGAGCTGTGTCTCCAAGTGCACAGGTATATATACACATACATACTTACACTAATGTTACATTTTTTATGAAACTAATTACTATATATAATTCTAATTCAATTTTACATACACATACACACTCATAATTAAAATATTGTATAGTTGGTAATTGATCATTGATAGGAAGAACATGTNAATAGGAGTGGAAAGAGCTGCAGGCTGAGGTGGGTGAATTACTTGAGGCCTGGCCTGAAAAAGGGTCAATTAACTCCTCAAGAAGAAGGAATCATTATGGAACTGCATGCCCTTTGGGGAAACAGGTCACTTTACTACATTTTTGCTACTATTTAATCATTAAAAGATTTAAGATGAATTACATAAATTAATTATATCACCCATTAATATGCATGCACAAGCATTTCATTCTAGAAAACTTGTATTTACCCAATTAGTAATGATGACTGTCCACCTGGAGAGTACAATTCCTTATTTACTAAATTCTTTCTTTGGTTTTTGCAATTAGTCTAATGTGGTAAGATAATTAACCTTCATATTATAATTTGTATCAATATTTGTATACAGATGGTCCACTATAGCAAGGTACCTGCCTGGAAGAACTGACAATGAGATAAAAAACTACTGGAGAACCCATTTCAAGAAGACTAAGCCTTCTCATGACACCAACCAACAAAGGAAGAGTAGCCTCAAACTAAAACAACTGCAGCAAAAAACTGATAGCACATACATCAACAATAAATTTGCAAAAAACACTAATCAGACAGAAGTTCCATATTCGGGCAGTGTCGACATTAATAATCATCAGATGCTACCGATATTGTGTAATGACCAAGATAGCAAATCCTGGTCTGATATTATTCCAGTGGATTTCGACTTGTGGGGTGGATTATGGGACACTGATGATCCAAATGGCTCCAGAAAAATTGAAGTGCAAAATCCAGCTAATTATTATTATCAAGGAGATCATATTGTTCCTCATGATGTGGAAAATTGGATTGGAGGCTATATGCTGTGAAGGAATCAAGTTTTGAAGCGACGCTTTTAATTACTATTTTTGCTTTTAGTTACTATATAGCTACTTGGATTAGTCCTTACATGAAGATGGTTTTAAGGGACATTTTTGAATAAGAGGAACAAAGTTTTACTTTTAATTCTTGATGTAGACATGGCCAAAACCTGTTCCGAGCCAGTTCCGGGTCGGAACCGTCGATTCCGGGCCGAGGGTTGGAGGGCCCTAAACTGGCCCGAACATATGCATTGGCTGGTTCAATGAACCAGCCGTTCAGCCAGTTCAATCGATTCCAGGCCGTTTTGGACTTGTGTTTTGTGTATAATCTCCCTCAGTGAATGCTTGTTGAAGCCAGGACAATGAAAATCACCCTGGTCATTATTAGAACAAGGATTGAATCAAAAAATATGCATTCAACTCTGAAATTGAACTGAAAAATTACAAAATCTTAGAATGAAGAACATTACATGTGATAGAGAGAGAAAGAAGATGAACGGACGGTAAGAAAAAAAAAAGAATGGAAAAAGTGAATACAGTAAACCCTAAAACGGGTATTTATACCTATACATGAAAAGCTAAAATGCTATTTAGAAACACGTTTTTGTGTTATTTACAATAACACTTATTTAATAAAACTAATACTTCAATATCTCCCGAAAGATGAGCATGAATGTTAATCATGTTCATCATGGAGAGACATTGATGAAATAACTGAGGGCTGAGAGCTTTGGTGAGGATATCTGCAGTCAGGGCTTGTGAGGGTACAAACTGAAGATTGATGATGCCCTTAGTTATCTTCTCCCTTATGATGTGGCAATCATTTTCTATGTGTTTAGTCCTCTCATGGTGAACAAGATTTTTAGCAATGGAAATAGCTGATTTGTTGTCTGAAAAAATTAAAACAGGAAAATTATAAGTAAGGTGTAAATACTGAAGCAAGTATAGCAACCACTGTGCCTCTAAATTGTGTAAGCAAGGGCTCTATCTTCAGCTTCAGCTAAGGATCTACTGGTTGTGTTTTGTTTCTTTGATTTCCATGAGATCATGGAGTTTCCAAGAAAGAAAACATAGCCAGTGATGCTCTTTCCAGTGTCAATACAACTAGCCCAATCACTGACGCTGAATCCTTCCAAATGTAAGTCTGAGATTCTGAGATAGAGTTTACCTTGGCCAGCAGAAGTTTTTAAGTATCTGAGTACCTTGTGTGCAGCATCTGAGTGAACTTGCTTAGGGTTAGAAACATGTTGGATGAGACATTGTATATTGTATGCAATATCAGGCCTAGTTATGGCCAAGTATAGCATTCTGCCAATTAATCTTCTGTAGCTAGTGGCATCAATATTATTAGCAGGACAAGAATCAGACAAAGATGAAAGTTTCAAGTTACAGTCCATTGGTGTTTTTGCAGGTTTAGATGCCAAAAATCCAGTATCATTGAGTATATCAAGGGTGTATTTTCTTTGGCAAATGTGTATACCCTTTTCAGAGTGAGCAAACTCTAAACCCAATATATATTTTAAAACACTAAGATCTTTGATGGTAAAGCATTTGACAAGATGAGACTTAATGGCAAGAATACTAGGAAAATCATTCCCTGTGACAATAATATCATCTACATATACTAATAATGCAAGAATATATTTATTAGAAACTTTTATAAACAGAGAACAATTAGCATCAGATTGTTTAAAGCCATACTCAAGTAAACAAATGGTAAGTTTTTTAAAACCATTGCCTTGATGCTTGTTTTAAACCATATAGTCTTTTTGTTAATTTGCAAACTCTCTTATCTGAATCATGTAAATAGCCAGGGGGAGGGAGCATGTAGACATCCTCATCTAAATCACTATGAAGAAATGCATTATTGGCATCAAGTTGATGAATGTGCCATTGTTTGGCAGATGCAATGGCAACCTAATAGTGGTGATTTTAGCTACTGGAGAGAATGTACCAAAATAATCAATTCCCTCTTCTTGTGTGTAGCCTTTTGCTACTAATCCAGCTTTATATCTTTCTATTGAACCATCGGACCTATATTTAATCTTGTATACATATTTACAACCTATGCAATTTTGATTTGGTGGTAGGGTAGTTAGTTGCCATGTCTTAGTTTGTTCTAATGCATGGATTTCTTTTTGCATAGCTTCCTGCCACAAAGGATTAGAGACTGCTTGTTTATAGGTCTTAGGTTCAATATGCTGAGTGATAAAAGATGTAAAGCAGTGACGACAATCAGATAATGAAGATGTAGATAAAAAAATCACTAATAGGGTATAAAGTTTCATTATGTGATGCAAGATTGGAGGAGTGGGGTGTAAAGTGTTTGTAAATGCTAAGATAAGCAAGAGGTTGTCTGTTTCTTGTCGATTTTCTGATGGGATTGGTTTGCTGTGAAGGGGAAGTGTTTGTATCATGTGGGATGATTTGATCTGAGTTGGGTTGGATGGGGGAGCGTGATATTTTTGTAGCATGTGGGTATGGTGATGAATTGATATTTTCTGATGTTAAATTTTGTTTTTGTGGGATAATGTTTGGTATAGTAAAATGTATGTCATGAACATTAGGAATGGGGAGAAGTAATTCTGATGACTGAGGGAGTGAAGGATTTGTTTTGAAAGGCAACACATGTTCATAGAATGAAACATTTCTGGATATTATAATTTTCTTGTTATCCAAGTTGTAAAGCCTATAACCTTTACAACCAAGTGCATAGCCAAGCAAAATGCATTTTGATGCCCTAAATCAAACTTGGATCTATGTGAAAGCAAAGTGGATGCATAACAAAGACAACCAATGACTTTCAAATGAAATAATGAAGGATCAGTCTTATAGAGAATATTGTAAGGGGATGTTTTCAAAGCAAATGAAGGTATTCTGTTGATTATGTGAGCAGCAACACATACACAGTCTATCCAAATTGTAAGGGTAAGTTTCCATGAAACATTAAAGCTCTAGCTTCTTCTAGAAAGTGCTGATGTTTCCTTTCTACCCTTCCATTTTGTTGAGGAGTTTCAACACAACTAGTTTTATGTATGATTCCATGTTCAGTGTAAAAATCTTGAAGTAAAAACTCAGTACCATTGTCTGTCCTGATGATTTTTATCGTTTTATTGAATTGAGTACAGACAAGGTTGTAAAAATGTAACAGAAGTCTTTTTGTGTCAGATTTATGAGCTAAAGGTAGATACATGTTGTTATGCTATGATCATCAAGAATAGTTAAAAAATATTTGTGACCAGAGTGAGAAGGTGTAGAGAATAGTCCCCATATATCACATGAATCAAATCAAAACATGATTCAGCAATGCTAGTACTGACAGTACAAAGTAACTTTTTCTGTCTAGGACAAACATCACAAGCATTATGTATAGCAGATTCGCAAGATGTGGGTGAACAGATGGACATTTGATACAATTTATGATAAGAGATATGCACAAGTCTGTTGTGCCACAAGTCAAAATCAGATAATACATGAGAAGAAGATACATTTGAGGAAATCACATTGTGATTATCAGAAACATGAAAATTCAAATAATATAATTCATTCTGGAGCCTAGCAGAATCAATCATTTGTTTGATTTGTAGGTCCTGTACAATGCAAGAAAAGGAAACAAAGTTGACAATGCAATTGTTAGTAGAAGTTAGTTTAGAGACATAAATCAAATTGAAAGAAAAAGATGGAACATATAGCACATTGTCCAGCACAAGATTAGGTCCCATATTGATCTTTCCCACACGCCTGGAACAAGTGTATTGTCCATTAGGTAAGTTTATTTTAATAGACTTTTGGATAGGGGTGTTAGTGAAAAGAGAAATGTTGCAAATGATGTGATCAGGTGCCCCAGTATCAATAATCCAAGTATGACTTTGCCATTCAGAATTAATAAGACATGTCATAGTGATACCTGACTGATCAGAAATAGCATTGGCCACAACAGGAGATGTGTTGTTGCCCTGCTTGAACTCATGTGATTTCTTAAACTCTAAGAACTCATTAAACAAATCATCAGTCATGGAAGATTTCTTAACATCAGATGTAGAGGGAATAGAGGTTGATGTAGATATATTGGCAGAGTGAGACTGAGAAAGGCTGGGATGAAACCTTGGACCCTTATGACCTATCCAATCAGGAGGGTATCCTATGATTTGGTAACATTTTTCTGTTGGATGAATGTATCCACAATGTGCACATTTGAATAATTTCTTTTTGTCTGTAGGAACATTTCCTCTAAAAGGCTTTTGAGATTTTGCAAGGATTGCCACAGAATCAATTGACTTATTATGAAGAGACCTTTGATTTTCTTCTTGTAATAAAACAGAATAGACAGTTGACAGTGATGGTAAAGGAGAAGAAAGTAGGAAGTGGCTCCAAAGAGATGCATAAGAGTCATGCAGGCCAATCAAAAATTTCATAACAGAGTCATTTTGTTGAGCAGTAGTCATGGATTGAAAAATGTTGCAAGAGCAAGAGGACATAGCACCACAGATGCATTTGAAAGCAGGTTTATATGTAATGTATTCATCCCACAGGGATTTAAAATTGGTATAATATTAATTAACATAAAGTGAACCCTGATACATGGTACTAAGAGATTTCTCAAGCTGAAAAATTCTAGGGCCACTACTCAAAGCATACCTAGACCTAATTTCATTTCAAACATCCTTGGCAGTGGTGAAAAATAAGAGAGATTGTCTGATGTCTATGGAAATAGTGTTCAAGAGACAAGACAACACAAGATTATTCGCCCTAACAAAGCAACATATTCAACACGATTATCAGAGGGATTAGGGGTTACCGGAGTACCATCAATGAAAGGCGATTGGTTTTTCACACTTAAGGCCATCTGAACAGCACGAGACCGAGGCATGTAGTTGTCACCCGTGAATAGATCTGCCACAATCAGGGCACCGAGATTATCACCGGCATGGACAAAGTACAGGGATGATGGATCGTCGGTCGGCGTGAGGAATGCAAAACTAGCCATCAGAAATCGAACGAGAGTATCACAAGGCTAAAAGAAATGATCAAAATCGTGATCGAGGTCTATATCAGATAGATCGAGACCGAAATCGTAATTAGATCGAGATCTAAGCCAGAAAAAGATGAAGAACAGTAAAAAAATGAAATCGATGAACATAAAGCAGCGGAAAATTTTGATCGCGAACAGGATCTGTATAGACTCGGCGAATTATACCATATTAGAACAAGGATTGAATAAAAAAATATGCATTCATCTCTGAAATCGAACTGAAAGATTACAAAATCCTAGAATGAAGAATATTATATCTGATAGAGAGAGAAAGGAGATGAACGGGCGATAAGGAAAAATAAGAATGGA